GTGTGTGTGCGTGTGCGCGTGTGCACTAACCCCAGCAGCAGAGACACGAGGAGCAGACAGGCTGCTGTTTAATAGATTACAAGGGAACATGGCGACCCATCGATCTTATCCCCTCCACACACACACATATGCACTCAGTGGCTCGTCCTATCCCAGAATTCAGTGGTGTAAGGTTACAACGAGGAAGCAGAAGCACTGCAGAGTTTTTGTTTTTTTTCTTTGTACTTAGTATAATTTCTTAATGCTTTGGAAATATTGTCTTTGTTACACTAATGCCAATAAAGCAAATTGAACGGAGGCAGAGAGAGCACTCAGGTTTTTGAACCTTCTGATGTTTGGACGTCATTAATTTTTTGATTAAAGGGGAATACAGATATTTTTCAACATGGGTCTTATTTTGACAAACGTATTCATGTAAAATTTAAGTTATTTCAGAGGCTCGTGCTGATTGCTCTAATATACATTGTTTTGCCGGTGCCATTTTTTCCCAAATCTCCATCCACCATCACCGTCTTATTTGATTTATTAAGAAAACACTTAAATGTTTCTTTTCAAATGTTTAAAATCCATCGCTAAATTCATGTAAACCAGTTTTTTGTCATCGTGCAATAACACTAAGACATCATTGTAGTTGCAGTGAACCGCGTCTTTTTGATGAGTTAAACTTACAATTTAGTGAAAAACACCAGCTTGTGCATCACTGAAGATCTTTGTCATTCTCAGTGGTAGGGAAGTTTATGAAGTTAACAATTGCATTGAAAATATGAATATTGAATATAAAAGTTATGTATCAAACTTAAATGTAAATTTTTTTTATTGAACTTACAGTATTATTATTTTAGGAATTATGCATGACTTATATATTTTTTAAATTAACAAATAAAAAAGTAATATACCCCGTGCAGTGCTCTAAAGTTTGAGAAACATTTATTTATTATAAGAACTCTACTGACTGACATTGAAAACGGATTCTTCTGCTTAATCATTGCTGCTTTTAAGGTTTAACCATCGCACACACACGCACACACTCTCACAGAGTAATAACTTAATATGCGGCAGGCGTCCGTGTTTTTAATTTCTTCACTCTCTTTACTCCTAATTACATTCTGGCTGGCAGTTCGCTGCCACTTTGCTGTGCACTGCCAGTAGAGCAGCTTGTACTGTAGCTCAGTAGAGTAGAAGCCGGCGTCCCGCAGGTACATGTACATGTTTGTCTTTTAACTGTTGTTCACTGTCTGCAGCACAGACCCATGGTGGCATCGTTCAGATAGAAGTATAACGTAGACACTCAGAATTACCTGATTTGGCATTTTGTGTGTTTGGTGTTGCTTTCTGTGTTCAGTCAGGGACCTAAAGTGGTAATAGTATCTGCAGCTGCCATTGTTTTTGTCTGTTCAGCTGTAAAGTTAGTGTACTGCTGCTAGTGTTAGTTTCTCAAAACAATGAATCCACAGTTTTATAGTTGCTTCTTTCACAATGTAAGCTAATTGGGGGAAAGAGGTGTTTAGTGGCCCCTGTGCATCATGGGTTGGATGCCATTGCTGTAATTACATGGTTGGGCTCTTCCTGGGGGCTTGTCACAGACCAATGTCATTAAACACATCTCTCTCTATGACACACAATGATGCAAATGCATTTATGACACCTGGATACTTACTCCAAGCTGCAAATAAAGCCACTGCATTCATCAAATCACTAATATTAATACAAAGGAGAAACCTTGTGTATGTAATTTCTGATGGTTGGCTAACCAATTTTACACTGGCAATTTTCTACCACACCTGTGAACCAACAGTGTAGATAATGAAGGCTGAAGAGCTCCAGTCCACAGCAGCTACTTGTCCTAAATTGATTAAAATTGAAGTTGAGTGACTGTCTGTGTTGTAGCACAGGGTTCTTTTAATAAAAACATATTTATATGCCACTACATTTTGTCCAGTGGGATCTGTAAGGCTTAGATGCACTGCTCGATTTTGTGCCTGACTCACTGTTAGAGAAGCAACGCTGCGGCGTGAAATTCTGCCACTATCACTCATGTTTTAATTTCAAGTAGGTCAAGTAAAGTTGAGAAAGTGTATTTCTGATGGGCTTCATACAGTACCACACGCACAAACTATTTATCCCTAAGTTGAACATGTACAGTTTAGTTTTTAGTCATACGCTGCCCAAGATATTTTGCACACCATTTGACTGCATATTTCATATAGTGTATATATTTTTCATTAGTGTTATATTTTCTATTATATTTTGTGATTCTTTAATGTACTTTTACACTTCTGTACTTTTTGCACTACATTCCCCAATGCTGCTGTTTCTTATTTGAACATCTTATCTCATCTTATCTTAGTGCTTCCTCTCTTTTAGAGATATCAGAGGAAAGTAGAGATAAGGATCACTGTTCTAATTTGTAGTTAATAGTTGATGGTTTTCAATTTATTTCAATGAGATTCCATCAGAAAAAAGCCGGATCGTCTGGCAAAAAAGTTAACCCTAATTCAACTTTTGCCGTGACACAGTGTGTCAGTGTCAGCTAGCTGCTGTGTTGGCCTGTTACATATTTGCAGGCACACAGTCCAGGTAGATTGCTTTATAACGTTACCACAGATTTGGATGCGATGGAGCATGAAATGATGATTTCCCAGATATGTAAAGTTCTGTCTTACAGCTACAGACCACTGTTCAGTGTTTTGCTATCCGATTACCCTTCAAACTCATGGATCTATTACTCAAACTGGCCTTCCTGGCAGAGACGGTGACACAGCAAAATTTTGCTCACAGGAACAAAGTATCCCACTGGGAGCTGAGCTTGTGCCAAGTTAAGCCCAGCGGCTCCTGTTTTTGTGCCCTCTGTCTCTCCGGGCTTGTAGTTCTTGATCAATGCTGTTTTGGCTTTATCTGTCCGTCAGACTGTCGGTTCTATAGTTGTAAACCATATCGTTTCACAGATGCTATTTTTATTTCAACGTGTTGATTAATAATTGATCGCGAAAGTATGTTCGCCGACTCTTTGGTGCTCATCACTCGGCTGGATTCTCACACTGGAGGCTCATGCTGACATGCTCAGTGAAACGCGTTTCTGTGTTTGGATGACAACATCATTTGATCTGCTCTCAGGGCCGCTACGGCTCTGCTGACTGCGCGTGTTGCAGTCTTCGTGGCTGTGTGTAAGGGAGTGACGAATAATATCAGTGATGTTATCATGGTCTCTGTGTGAATGCGATGAATGTAAAGTGGGTTAAAAGTTCTTCTCATTGATGTGAAGAGTTCTCCTCTGCAGTAAAAAATGGTCCGATGTCAGTGACAGACACTCGGCTGCAGCTTCTGTTGGTGTAAGATTTCTTAAAGATGAGGTCACCCAGCCACCATTTTCTAAACTTGTTCTCTTTTTCTTTTACAGCTGAAACTTGAAGATCGATCTATTGTCATTAGAGACATTGTGCGACGAAACAATTCTAATGTAAGTGGAGTCCTTTTTCACTCTCCTTTTCACTTCACCGCTCATTCTGTCCGGATTTTTTTTTTTCAATCAGCGCTCTCTCTTTGTCAGTCGTGTCACTCTTCACCGCTCTGCTGCCTCAGACATGACTGGAATATTGTTGTAGGTCAACACTTACAAAGGACTAAGAGGAGACTTTTTCTGTTAAAGCACCCACCTGCTACCAGCTTGAATATAAATACAATATTAAACACTGATTTTTTTTTTTAGGTTAAAATACAAATCTTTTTATTGTTTACATACCATCACGAGTGACGCTTGTGGACATCAGGAAAGTTAAAAAAGAATACAAGCAATACCCAAGTGTTCGATATATATTGATAGACTGGATATTGTATCAGTGATGATAATTAATATGACTATAGGTTGAACTTGTGTTTGTTACATTACAGGACAACCAGTGTGGTATTGTGACCAACATTGACATCGAGTGTGCAGTGAAACTAGTGGGAACAAACTGTGTTCTGTATCCAGTTAATAGCAAAGACCTGCAGCACATCTGGGTAAGAAAGTGACATTTTACTGAAGGGTTTTAATACTCAATATATTCAAATAACTGTATGGGAACATTTCATTTCACCAGTTCATCATTTAATTAAAGACCTTTCCTAAAAAGAACTGTATCATTTGGAAGTCATTATATATCTACTGAGTGATGAGTTCAAGTTACAAAAATCAGATTCCACAAACTGTTTCAACAAATGCCTGCTAACGGTCTCTGCATTGTTTTGTCTAATAATTAATACCAAATTCTATTGTTCTATTTTTTAATTACTCGCATTTAGTAAGAATTAACATCAAATGTGATTTAAAAATGTTTCTTAATCTGTGCATAGCCTGTTATTATATATTATAATGTGTATATAAGTGTTTCATTGCATTGTTTAGGAGTATGTTTGAGTAATCACAAATGATGAACACAAAATTATCAATCAACAGTATTTTGCTAAATGGCTTGAAAAGGTCATTTAGTGTTCAGATCAGCAGCAGATGATTCACTTCAGTCATTGCTGGTCTAGAAAAATGTAACTTCTGCAACTTGAAACTAACAGATTTTTTCCTGTTCACTGTGTTCTGTCTAGTCTTTTATGTACGGCGACTACATTGCCTACGACTTCTGGCTGGGGAAAGTGTATGACCTGACTAATCACATCATCCTTAAGCTCTCCAATGGAGCCAGGTAGACTGTGTGTGTGTGTGTGTGTACGTGTGATTATACAGCGTGTACTGTGACCATGTTGGAATCTGTTGGAAGGTGTCTGCACGCTGGCACACATTCATCGTTGCCAAATCCGGTGCGTGTCACCTGATTGTCTCTCTGTCTTTGTCTTCCTCCAGGTGCTCGATGAGTGTGGAGGACGGTGCCAAGCTTTACGACGTCTGTCCACATGTCAGTGATTCGGTATGTAGCCACAAGCTCTTATCTTACCTCAGGTACATCCAGCCTGGACAGAACATCTGTTAGTCAGGGGTCAGATTCTTTTACAAGAGCAGACTGCCGACATAAATGGCTCTTTCTTTCTAATGTGATTATATACTGAGTGTAATATCCATCCTCTGCTACGTGTGTAGGCCTAGTTTATGTGATGGCAACAAAAGGAAGTATTGTAAGCATTTATTTAGAACTTAAACATTATTTCTATTTTGCATTTTAGACTGTAGTTTAACTTTATAAAATAATACATATTTTTTTGTTTTATTGACAGGTTGGTGTTGCAACATGTCTGCTACAATGTTTGATAATGGGATTTTAGGCTCATTATTTTCAGAAAATTCTGTAGTGTAGTACTGAATTACTATTAAAAATGACAGTTTTGACAGTGAGTTTAATGTGCAGAAATGTCAATGTGTTGTCAAATTTGACACCCTATTGCTATTCACATGACTTATTTTACATCATGTGATATTTTTATAGTTGTACATGTTGAATGTGATGCATTTTTTGTTACCTTTAACAGCTGATAGATAATCAACATCATTTCCAACTGTGTTTGCTCTTCAGGGTCTGTTCTTCGATGAGGCGTACGGTTTCTACCCAGGCCAGGTCCTGATTGGGCCGGCCAAAGTCTTCTCTAATGTACAGTGGCTGTCAGGAGTCAAACCTGTCCTCAGCAGGAAGTGCAAGTTCAGGGTGGTGGTAGAAGAGGTAAGACGATGATGATGGTCCTTTCTTTTAACACCCGTCGTCCTTTCACTGCAGCATCCTTATTGTAGTGAGAGAGAACAACCTGTTTAGTTATCTTATCAGTGAATGATCACTTCCTGCTGTGTACTGTACTAGAACAGTTCTCATTATGAGTAATTGTGACTGACTGCAAATCCAGCTTTCTTAATGTAGCACAAGATTATACAGTTTGGTAAGACAGGGTAATGCTCTTTTTCTTTTTCATTTATTCATTTATTCATTTATTCATTTATCAGAGTTCAAACTTCCTTTACTGTATTTTATGGGCTGAGTGTGTGGTCCAGCTCTGCAAATCATGCTGTGCACAAAAGCTTTTTTTCTCTTTTTTAACAACAAACTGTATTGGAGTCAGATACTTGAATAAATTGTGGTTTATTTTAGTTGTGTAATCTTAAATTGTCTAAATGGTCTCTGTGGTGTCATTGCGCTGTTCTCAGGTAAAAGTGGTAGAACTGAAGGTGACGTGGATCACCAAGAGCTACTCTCCCAAAGGTTCTGACAGCGTCTATCCTCCTCCCTCCACCATCACACAGGAGAATCTCTGCAGGTCAGTCCAAATATTGATTGATTAATTGATTGATTTAGGTTACATGTGAACTTTGTTTATCTTTGATTGTGCTTGTGATTATGGTCCTACACAGCGCTTTCATTGGTAGAATATTTAGGTGTCAGGTGCTAGAATTGAGGTCCAGTATCAACAAATTCAGAATAAATACAAACAGATACTGTATCCTGTTGTCCGTGGGGTAATGTTACTCTACTGTTTGATTTTAGGGTGAGACGTTTAGGATACTATGACCACACCCAGAGGCAGCTGGGAGAGAGGGCACTATATGTGTTCCCGGCTAAAGGGGACGCCACGCGCATCACTTGTGAAGGACCCGAGGGTGCCCCAGTCCTTCCTGAAGACCCCGTGGCCAGAAAGGTGTGAATAAAATGTTATTTATTTATCTGTCTAGGTGAGTATAGATTTAACTGTGCTCTTTTACGGGAAATGAAGAACTTGTTACCTGTTTTAGAAATGTAGGTGGATACAGCCTGTTATCCCCTCGGGAGCTTATTAACTGTTAAAATCACCTGTTTTACACAAGAATTGAATGAACAGGAGATGATCACAGTGCCAAGGTTATTTTAAGAAAGTTGTACGGTGGATATCCCTCAGTATGGCAGAGACTGTGTGTGCTCGAAAACTACGAGGCATTTTCTGATCATCTTCAAACTCTCACTCTGTGTGTGTGTATTTGTGTGTGTGCATGTGTCTCCTGCAGTTGAAAAGGATGTTCAAGAAGGATTTGGGGAAGAAGACAGAGAATGCAGACACACAAGGTGACACTCTTCAGAGGAATGCACACACACACACACTTCTTCTTTCCAGTGTTGTCGGTTTTTATCTCCATCGCAAAACTCTAATGCTGAAGAATTTCACTCAACTGAAAATAGATGCGCGAATCAACACTACAACACGCGCTTTAATTTTAAATATAGCCTGACTGATGCATAGGCTGGAAAGTTATTGGTCAGAGTGAAAAGGTTGCTCCTCTTCCTCTATACTTGACCCTGTTTCCCCACATTAACAGTATTCTTTTCTGTGATAAATCATTAATTCAAATCCGGTTTTGCGGTTAATCTATTATTTTATCAGTCAGGTCACACAAAAAGCATGAGTTTGTATAAGTTGTGTAGTTGTTAGTTCATAAGGTTGTGTTCCCTTGAATGTGCTTATTTCATTAGCTTTAGATTCTTGTAACTTTTAATTATCTTAGACGACAAATGACTTTTAATTACAGTAGTTTAAATTTAAATTTGATCTTGTAAATCTCTTCGGTGCAATTAATCTGTCGATGAATGCTGCACTGGTCATCACATAATTAGTCATTAGTCTAAGATAATTCAAAAAGATTATAATTTTCAAAAAGTTTCTGCAAGAAAGTCTTTACTATTAGTAAGACAGAAGTGAGAGCAAGTGCAAATTACTTTTGGTTTTAAATACATTTTTTATGAATGAGAGGGAATGAAATATATTTTCTCGCTCGCTCGCTCGCTCGCACGCACGCACGCACACACACACACAGTCACAGCACTTAATCATTTATCATTGTCAGAAAAGTGAGCATTATTTTTTTGCTTACATATTCCCTAAAGTAGCTGAGAACTTGTGTCTCCATGCAAAGCAGAATCAGAATTCCTCCTGTTCCTGAGAGACACGTCAGTCCTTCAGTACTTTCCACAAATGGGGCTCAGCACAGAAAGTACGCACTAATTGGAAATTGTGCTGAAGTGCAGCACACTCGAGCAGAGAAATAGATCTGTCTGCATGAGCCAGGAAAATAGAGAATGGCTGTGCTTGTCTTTGTAAAGCCCTAGCAAAATAAAAACCTGAAGCACTTTCATTATCAACAACTCAGCAATGAGAGTGATAAAGAAATATAATATATTTATTATATTGTTTCCACTTCTGAATTATTGTGTTTAATATATACTCTATTTCATCTTCTGTTCAAATTTTTCATTTTAATTATCCATGCAACGATACCTTAAATACAAATCCTAATTTGTCCTCCTCTGTTTTACCTCTTACCAGGTGAGCACAAATCTGAGCAGACGGACTCGTCTCATTCCAACAACAACGGCCCTGTGGTTCCTATCCAGAACCCTCTGGACCCCCAGAACACCAACGACGCCTTGGCTGAACACGGCGAACAGGACGCTGACGATGAGGCTGCAGAAGACACTGACGATACCAGGTCTGTTAACATTTTAGTTATTTGTTTTAAAATGTCAGTGACATGTCGGGGACACAAAAGCATGAGCTTCTTTGAAGTATCATGTGATCTGATGCAATAACTCTGAAACTCTTGTGGAGAGTTAATGTGCAGATTCTGTGCCTGAGGGGTGACGTAGTATAAGGTTTTCTGGTGGAGTGAAATATATAAAAATGTGTTTGGGTGGACAAAATAACAGTTTATAAAGATTATATAGTATAATATGGACTGCAATTAACTAGTATTTCCATTATTAATTAATCATGTGATTCCTTTCTTGTTTAATTGACTATGAAATCTCAGAAAATAGCCATTTAATTATAATTTTCCAGATGACATATTTAAGATTCCTTTTTTTATCCGATCATAAGCACAAAAACCCAAAGATGTTCAGCTTACCATATATGACAAAGAAAAGCATCAAAGAAGTAAATGTTTTTACTGTGGCAGAGCTTCATCAGCTAGGGCAGCCACATTTGTTGTCGCTCGTTGTCAGTGTGTTTTATCCTACTGTTGTACTGACTTAATTTTTACAAAACAAATAACCTTGCCTCTACACCAGGCTTGCAGTAGTTATGGCTAATTATTTTGCTTGTTGAAATTTACCCAGATTGGTTGTAGAAGTGCAGTTTAAATCTAATAATGTTAGTCTCTCATTGTTGTTTTTGCTTGGTTAAGTCTGATTTGCAATATTAATGAAGCTGAGCCCCTTGTTCTTAATGAAATCCATTTCATGAGAGTGTTTGTGTGTGACGGAGAGAGGGAGATGTGAGACTGTAACACACTTTAATTAGGTTTATGTTTAATTACACTTTTTTTATGAGTGAAATATGGGATATAGTTAAACAGGTTAATTATTCCCTCAAATAAAAGCGATGGAAATGCGTTTTGTCAGTTTGGCAAGCAAAGGCTGATACTTGGCTGAGAGCCGTCCCTGCAGCGTTTTCTTAAAGTTCCAGTTGGTTCAGAGTCAAAAATGACCACTGAGCTGAATCATCATCTCTTAAACACAACCTCAATAAAAAGTGAACATTAAAAGGCTCATAAATGTAGTATTTACAGCAGAGCTATTGCGCTGGATTTCACAAAATCTTTCATGTCTATATTTCCTCCTGTATGTCTTCATCCTATTGTCCTAAAAGATAAACTTCAGATATTTCTATATTAAGCCCAGCCTTTCTTGCTGTAGTGTAAATTAAAGCTTTAACAACTCATCAGTTGATGACAGAAAACGAATCAGCAAAATGTTTTTTCAGCAAAATTGACAAAAATTCTCTGGTTTTGAGTTACAGTGCACATTTGCTGTTTTTTTTTTTTTTTTGTCTTCTGTGGTTTAAAATGGAATATTTGGACTGATGGTTGGACAGAACAAGTCATTTGAAAATATTTCCTCTGAGAATTTTTATAGACCAATTATTGATCCATATATAAGTATGTGAGATGTATCAGTTAACTTGCGACTGTAACCCCGGTTGCAGCTCTTTGACGTCATCGGCCAGCTCCACAGCCTCCTCTCAGAGCGGCGGTCTGGGAACCAACCGGAAGAAGAGCATCCCGCTCTCCATACGTAACCTGAAGAGGAAGCATAAGAAGAAGAGGACCAAGTTTTCCCGCGAGTTCAAGCCTGGGGACCGGTGGGTTAACACTAGTACACAGAACTCCATTGTTGTTGTTGCTTCTGCTGCTTTGTATCTTCAATCATTCGTCTTTGATTCTCTTTTATAACTTCATCCATTCATATTGTTTTCATTTCATACTGCCAGTACGTCGGTCAGACTGTTTCTGTAGTGACTCATCAGACACTGTGGTGACCAGTGATTGGTCCAGTGTTTTTTTAAAAAGATCTCGGGAGCCACTTAAGTGTTTTGACATTTGACTCTGACGAGTCTGGTAATGGTGCTTCCTACACATTTAGTCCTCTCCCCTGCAGCTGTATCGGGAACTTGATGTAAAAATTAGACCGACTGCTTACCCTGGAAAAACTGACAACACTGCGTCTGTGTGTCCCTCCAACGTCTCTTTTGTTTGTCAGAGGGCTCATGTCTCGATCTGTCGGACGATGACACTGGAGCCCAGCAGCAGCCGCACACAGAAAGCCTTTCAGTGCACTGATGGTGTCATTTCCTCAACCGCACACTGCCCCACTCATCCTCAGCTTACAAAACAGACTTCACACACTGTCTGTTGCTGTTTTTTTTACTGCACCTAGCAAACCACAATGCTGCAGATATTCTGGTCTGCCAAAACAAAACCACATGTTCAATTAGAAGATGCTTAAGTCATATTTTTTACAAATAAGTGCTGCTCCTCTGTTTTTGATCTATTACCTTGATGATGTTATTGCTAAACAGCATTTTGTGTGTGTGTGTG